GCATCTGAGGGTGAAGGGTGGTTGCAAGTTGTCCTGTCCAGAAAAGAGGGTGGCAAAACCAAGTGGCTTTTACCACTCTGAAGTTGAGGGAGACATGAAAAACAACTTTATTCTCTCCTTTCTGCTGGTACTCTTAGCATCCAGAATGTCCATGGGAATGGGGTTGTTCTTGGGAGGTCCTAGACTTTCTCCCTGTGAGTGGAAGGAGGGTTCAGGTTTCCTTGTGTTAAGGAAGAAAGGGTTCAGTTTTCTTGTGTTTTCTTGGTTTTTCCTTCCCCCTCACACTGCATTTTGCCTTCCCCTTGCTGTGCTGCTGTAAACTGGATTTGTGAAATGATCCAAGGTAAACTACCAAGCTACCACCCTTGATCCCCAAAACTGGCAGCATGGAGACAGAAACAAATGGGTCAGCAAGAAAGGGAGAGAGGCAAAGCAGAAGTGTCTGCAGCAGAAGGGAGTGGCAGGGACCACCATGCTAAGGGTGAGAGCTGGCTTGGGGAACACTTGGGAATACAAAGCTTTGTGGGCGAGGCAATAGCAGACTATCTTGAATCAGCAGCTCTATTGAGAATTGCTTTGTTCTGCTTTTCCCCAACAGCTTTTGAGAAAGTGGGTTTGATACTGACCCAGGAAAAATCCTGCAGGATTCAAAGATATGCCAGTTCTCTCTGGGTCTCAGAGCTGCCATGCATTGCACCTGCCCAGGAGAGAGAGATCTTCGTGCTCATCCTCTGCTTTAAAAGGTTAATTGTGCCAGTGGGGTGGCACAAGGCTGAAGGGCAAGGCTCATGCCCAGACTCCAGATGCCACGTTTGCAGTGGTGCCAGCAGCCTTTATGGGCTTGCAGAGCATTACCCAAGCCAAGCAACATCACTTCTGTAGCAGCAACATCCCTGATCCTTCCTCCAGAGCTGGGAAGGAGCTCTCTGAAGCCCAGCCGGTGTGTTGTGATATATTGTAATCTTTGGCAAAGACAGGGAGTGTAGGAGGAATGTAAATACATTTGTCCTAAAGGGAGAGTGCTGGTGTATCTGTTTCCAGTTCATGGTAAGGGGATGTTTGATGAGTGGCATCCTCAGTCTTGGAAGAGTTTTCTTGTCCTTTCAGAAAAACCACAAACAAACAAACCCTCCCCCATGCCCCCCAACCCAAACAAATAAAAAAGGAAAATGAAGCAACAAAAATCTACCTGTCAGATATTGCTGAGATCCAACCAAGACTTGCTTTTAAGATTAGGCACAAACAAGCTTATTAGCTATGTCTGAAATGTGACCAACTGTTCAAAGTTAAATAATTCCCCTGACTCCTGTGTTCAGCTGTTGCAGAGGTGCTGGATCCTAAACTGCCCTCAGTCAGTTGCAGCTCCAGAACTGGCCCACATAAAGGTAAAAAAATACCTTTTGCCAAGGTTTTTGAACTGTGCTTGGTAAGTTGAGAGGCACAGCTATGGAGATGCTGCAGTATCCATTCACACCAGCTGTGACACTGAATTTGGGGGTTTAAGTCTATGTTGGCGTGGGCTATCTGCTGCATTAAGAGTGAGTTTGCATGGTAACACTGCACCCCAGCTGTACAGAGAGATCCTCCTGAAAACCTGACACAAAGCATGGTCTGAGACCCTCCCACACTCCTTAAGGCCCAATTCCTTGCCTTGTGCTTCTCTGTCCTCATGCACTGCTGAAGCAGGGGGGTTGCCTGGAAATTCCCAAGGCAAGCAGCAGCTGAGGGACACCAAGGTTGCTCTGGCCCTGTTGGGCAGAGATAGCACTGCAAGCCCATCAACAGGAGCTGTTTCAGCTCTGCCTAGGTTGGGTTTTTCCCTTGACAAATACCTCAGTGGTGAGCCTTGATACCCTTACACATATGCCCAGTTGGATTTTCTTGATGCCCTTTCCCTTCTGGGATGTCCCCAATCACTATGGCATTCTATGTTTGGTGCAGCAGACTTCAAAGAGTGAAGGACAACCTGTGGAAAAGGGAGTATTTGGCTCTCTGTTCCCTGGAGGCCGGGAGTGGTTGGTGGCAGGGCTTGTGTAATGTCTGTAAAGCTGACATGGGGAGATAAGGTATTGTCACCCAGTATGTGGAGTGTTTCCTTGATAACCTGAGCATGAGCTGTCCTCCCCTATGGGGAACTTGGGTAGCTTCAGGCAGGACTGAGAAGGATTTCCTAATTGTTTTTTTTCTTTTTCCCAGGGATGTATATGACTCAGAGGCCGTGCATTCCAGAAGGGCTTCCATGATTCCCACACAGTACACAAATACAGCCTCTCTCGTGTGGGCTTTTTTGTGAGTGCCTTTCCCAGGAGCCGAACCCGAGCTCTCCCGAGGTAGGACTGAGCAGCTGAGGAGTGCGGGGTGTGCTTGAAGTGACAGGGTGGCCGCTGCTGTCAGGCTGCATTGCCACCTGCTGGGGACACCAACGCCCTTCTGCGAGGGGTCCCCTGTGGCATTCACGTTCTCTGAACGCAGGGACATCATTCTCTCTCCTAAAATTTTTCTTGGGGAAAGCAGTGAGAACCTCAGAGAAGAAGAGAAAACAATTCTTATCTATATTCACTACTTTTGTTGCTTTGCACATGTAGAATGTGTAATAGAAATTGTTTACTTGATTTGTTAATTGGACACAGGTGAAAGTTGTTTTGAGTGATTAGCCAGTCCCTCAAAGCTGTGTCTGACTGTCTGGAGACAGTCACGGGTTTTTCTTTAGTATGGTATAGTATCTTTTTAGTATGTAATTTAGTATAGTATTAGTGTAACATAATATAGCTTAATAAAACATTTGTTCAGCCTTTCTGAATCATGGAGTCAGAGCACATTATTCCCTGCATTGGGGTCGCCCTGCACTGATCTAGCACCCTGCCAGGGTGAGCCTGGCTGGGCTCCAACCTTTTTCCTCATGTGCTTATTTTGAGCTGATCTGCTGCCTCTTGCTTTGTTGGAGTTTGTCTTCAGGCACTGATAACATGCAAGTTGTAACTCTGGGGTTTTAAACTATCCTGGTTTGGGTACTGGCCTTCAGGTTTCTTTCATGGGTGCAGCCAAAGGAATGCAGGGGACACTTTAGCCAAAGGACTTGGACATTCTGGGCAGGAACAGGTGAGGAACTCTGTGTTGTTCTTCATAATGTAAAAAAAAAAAAAAAAAAAAAAGGGTATTAAAAAAACACCCCCAAAAACTCTTGCTACAAATTACCTGTATGTGCTGGGAACTCACCTGGAGTAGGATCTGTGGTCCATGTTCCCTTGGGTGCTGCCTTGAAAGAACCCCACTCAGATTTGGCCAAGTTATTACACTGAGGTGCAAAAACATGGGCAAAAAAAAAAAAAAAAAAAAAAATAGGGGAAGTAAGAAAGATGAGACAGCGGTGCAGTGAGGCCTGGCTGGATAACTCGTGTAAACCAGCAGCTTTGGGGCCCACTGGCTGCTTCTCCCAGAGCTGCTTTTGTGGGATGTGCCACCCTTATTCTCCACCTGGCTCAGCTCCAAGCCTGTCAGGTAGAAGCAGCCTGTTCCAGGGCAGGGGGATGAGCAGGGTTTATGGAGGCTGAGATCTCTTCTGCTGTGCTTTTCCCCTGTTCATTCTGGGAGAGCATCTGCCACACCACAAACCAGCAGCCTGCTCCAAAGTGGTTTCAAAGGGAAACCAGTGTGCATCAAATCACTTGCAGTGGTAGTTCATAAATTGATTTACCAGCTCAGTGTAGTCTGACTGCTAAGGCTACAGGGGCTGTGGACAGCTCATGGCAGGATTTTTTGGCAAAAAACTTTAAATAATATTAGCCACTAATTTAGTGTCCGTGCTGATTGCTGTTAGTGGGCATTTAAGAAGTTAATATGTAGGAATGAGAAATGAAGTAATTCAAGGAAGACACAGCACTATCTGTTGCTCTCTTGCACTGCCTTTATGTCACATCTTTGATAGCTGAGGCTGCTGTCAGCTCTTGAGAGCTGAAACCGTGCTGGGCTCTCAGGGGACATGCACACATACAGATGGCTTTTGGTTAACAGTCTTTGGGATGTTCTTCATCTTGCTGATCACACTTGTATACACAGGAGGTGAACACAAACTGACCCAGATGATAAAGTATTCAAAATACGTTTTTTACTTCTTTCTTGGGACTATAGGTTATTTTATATGTGTTTTTTTTTGGTTTTTTTTTTTTTTGGTTTTTTTTTTTTGACAGATCACCACCATGGACAAACACAACCAGCAACAAATGTCAAGTATCTACACGTCTGGTAGATGGCTTGTTGAAACAGAACCATTTTCAAACCTTGTCTTGGTCCTGCTCCCTCCCCTTGGCACAAAGGTGGGTGGAAGTGGGCAGCACCACACCAAACCCCTGTATGAGAAAGGAAGGGTAACCAGAGAAAGTGCACTATGCTGTTTTCTCATCCTCACTGCTGGATTCCCTTCCTCAAGACCTTTACCACAAACCTTAATATAAACTACAGAAAACCAGGTTGTGTAAGAACTCAAGCAACTTAATATATGCTTGTGCTAGAGGGCAGGATCACCTCTATCCATACCACTCCTGACAGCTTGGTCTTAAAGCCTCTGCTGCTGGACAGTCACAGCCTCCACAAGGTGCCCTGTTCCTCCTTTCACTGAGCAGGAGGTGCTTTGTTAGGAGGATCCACCTCTTCCTTTTAGTGGCCAGCACTGCACACAGGTGTATTTTGGTGCAACCAACAGTAACCTGCAGGACTCTGGTCTCCAGTGGAAGCCACCGAGGGAGGATGCAGCCTTGGATGGAGACACCAGTGCAAAAGGATGCCCTAGGATGAAAGCACAGCCTGCAAGGGAAAGCCCAGGAGTGGTCTTGATGGATTGGAGATGAGGGAAAAATGTGAAATACACTTAACACTCGAGGTGGGTGGAAGGCTGCTGAGCCTCCAGGAGCTGCCAGCACAGCACAGCTGTTGTGGGATACGTTGATCTCTTCAGACATGAATCCTGGTCACAAAGCAGGAGGTAGAAATAACCCGAAGTTTGGTTGTTTCAGCATTTTTATTAGACAGTGCTCCACTCAACAGTTGTACACAAGACCCTGATGCTCCCCTGATCAGTGCACAAACCTTGGGACATCATGCTCTCATGCCACCACGACCCAGGCTGCATAAACCATCTCCTTTTAGAGAAGTGATGCCCAGGAGAAACCCAGGCTCAGAGCAGTGTCCCTGCACTGCCATCACACCAGCCAAGCCGGGAGGTAACTTCAAATGCTGTTTGATTAGGCAACTGCCCTCTGCTTCCCAGTCACCTCCCTGTGCTGCTTGGGTCCTGTGAATGACAGGGGATGCCTGCTCTGTTCACAGGAGCCTGAGCCTTCTGACAGGGATGCCCACCCTCAAGATGAGCTTTTCTGCAATTCAGGCTGTCTTTTGATGGACTTTCAGAAACCTTTGAGGGCAGCGTGAGTGTGGGCTTTGAGGAAACAAATCGGCCTTCCAGAGCTGGTTTCTGCTCCTTGCCTGGAGGAGGTTCTCATGGAGCTCCCTGTGCCTCTGGGCTCAGCTGCCCTGCATTCAGGCACGTGTGAGCATAACCCTGCCAGCTCTGGTGGTCCTGCTTTGCCATTGCTGGTCCAGGAGAGTGGCTCTGCTGCCCTGCTATTTCTCCCCTGCTCTTCTGGGACTTGAGGCACTCAGCAGCTCAGGCCTTGAAATATCAAAACCCACGGCCACATTGGTGCAGCCTGAGGAGCTGCTCTCAAACAGCACACAGCTGTGTGGCTACATCTGTAAACTTCCCTGAGCTCAGTGTTTAGCTCATGCTCAGTGCTAAGAAAGTGGTTTACAGAGCCAGGTCCCAAATTTCTGTGAACTGGTGCAGCATCAGCTAAGGATGGAAAAGCAGATTTCCCTGCAGGTACCCCATCTGCCTGACACATCAAAGCCAGTTAACCTAGTGCAGATTTTCCAGTTGGGTAGATGAGTGGCTGCAAATCAAACTACAACAAGCAGTAGCAAGGCAATCAAGTGACTCAAATTATCCAGGTTTGGGAAAGCTTATAAAAGAAAACATGTAAATAACATCTATACAGCTAATAGGTTAAACACTGTCAGAACTCAGTGGCATACATTTCTTTTCCCTTTGTTGCTGCTGGTGGGCACCTGGCACCACCTAATACACAAATTTAAATAAAGACTGCAAAATAAACTCTCAAAGCTAACAAGAAGAGACCACAAAAGCAAGCATGCTTAGCTCACTTTTGGACTGGAGTTTGCCATTGAAAGACCAATGGAATAACAAGGTTTAATGTAATATGGCAGTGGATTACTTGTCTGTCACTGGAACAAATGCACAGAAGAGCCTTTGCCTTTAGAGCAGATAGGTGCAAACTCAGGACAAGCCTTTGGCATGTCAGTTCCAGCTCTGCCAGTCGCAATATGATATTTAAAATATACATAAGACTCCACAGTCCATCACATTCACTTCACGTGGCACAGCCAAGATACTGAACCATCTGCTCTCTGGGTGCTCAAAAAGAAAACACTTGAAAACAACTTCCAGGGCAATAGTCTCAGTTTTCCATCTGTTGTCCTCCAAAGGCAGCTAAATTCCTGCAACTGTTTGTTAGCACAAAAAGAAGTTAAATAGCCCAGGTTACATTCAATAGAAAATTTCTTCCCAGGAAATGGGATACAGGAAATAGCAAAACTCTGTAGCCAACCAAATACTGTACAGTTCTCCCTGCTCCCACCTGCAGCCCTGAGTTTTTAAGGGACACCAGCAAAGCCTGCAGTATGTCTTTTAAACTAAACAATATAATGAGACAACTAGAAATGTTAGAGAACTCAGCATGCCCTCAGGAGGATTGGATTTACGTTCAGTTAGGCGAACAACGGTGAGTCTGGAAAAAGGAGAAAGCAGCCTTGAACTGCATTTCCAAGTGCAGAAGGATACAGGGCAGCAAACTGCCACGCAGGATTCAGATTTAGAGTTCAAATGCAGGGAACTTGGCCTTGGTAGGCACCAGCAGGTCAGCAAGAAAGTAAATTGTTCCAGCCATTCCTGAGGATGAAAAAAACACACTGTGCTTCAGAGAAATTCCCTTTGGGCACTGTTTTTCTCAGTTATCCAGGGAGTGAATGAGTTATGAAGACAGAAGAAAAGGTCCAAAATAATTTTCAAGGTCTGAGCCCAGGTTTCCCAAGCAACTTTGGTACCTCAGTGGGGAAAAGCATTTTGAAGTTAATCAAACGTTGAAAAGTACCTGGCAAACCGCCATGGGTCTTTTCCCCACTCCATCTCCCTCCATTCTGCTTTACCCTTCCACAACTTCAACACTGGGCAGCTTTATCAAACTCTGGTCTTTGAGACACTGCTGCCCAAGGTCCTGACTGATGGAACTTCTGCTGTCCCCTGGGCTGCAGCAGCCTGGGGAGATCAGGGTTAGCTGGGGGCTGGCTCCTTCAGCAAATACCTGCTGATGGCAGATTTGGGGGGAGCTGTCAGCAGGAGGCACTAAGTGCCATAGGAGCCACCATGGCCCGTAACAGCAGCCCCATTTGTTCCTCACCTTTAGAATCAAACTGGAACACTCAGGAAGGATTTCAATCCTCAAAAATGTACAGAAAAGAGACTGTCTGAGAAGCCAGGCTACAAATAACCAAAAGGAAGCCTGAAGCCATGAAAGAATTCCTCTTGAGATCTGTATGTAAATTTGTGTGGGGGGCCTAAGAGGAGAAGATGCTCCAGCTAAGACATTAGTCTGTGCTACAGGGAGACTCCTTCTGGGCAAGGGTAGAAAAACCCAGTGGGTACAATTTCCTTTCTGTCTTCTACACTGACTTTTGCAAAGACTCCAGTGGAGTTTGTATTCTGTTTTCCTTGGTGCTAGGACTGCTTAGATCCAGGGGCAAAACACAAGGCTAGAGACTGAGATTACCTTCAAAGAGAGAGAATGGTGTGTCTGGAGTCCGGCACCCATGCTGCCCATAGCTTAAACACCACTCTGCAAACTGAGAAAAGAGGTAGAAAAAGTGTTCAAAGTTGGTTAAGGGCAAGTCCTGAGAAGAAAATACTATCCCTTGTCCCCACACTACCCCTTACAGAGCAAGGCTTCTGAGGGAAATCCCTTCTGTACAGGCTGTCAGACAGTGACTGCACTGTTGAAGGACTACTCTGGTGCAGCTGGTCAGATCTTGCTGCATGTCTGCCCCACTAGAAATTGGGTTTCAAAGGCAAAGGCAGTCATGTAGAAGGCAGAAGTGAGTAAGGCCCTCTATTGCCTCACACCCACTCTTACCTTGCAGGCCCTGTAGAGGTATTTCATGTTCTGAGTGAGGTTGTACAGTGCCAGGAAGGCATAAGCATTGCCAGCTGTGCCATGGCACAGCCCATAGCCTTTCTTCAGTAACCCATACTGCCAGATCACTTCTGCACACTGCAGGGCATCATTCAGGTACTGCTGCTCCCCAAAGACCTGTGGAGACAAGAAACTGTTGTCCCTGCTGAGGCAATGTCCTCCAAACAAAGAGCATCCCTGTGGGATGCAGAGGCTTGGGTGTCCTGCTGAAGTGACTCTGCTGTTTACTTTTAAAGGAGGATATTTTTGGTATCATGAGTGGGGATGTAAGACCATTACTCCACACACAACTAGTTGTCACCATCCACCACTTGCAACAGGGCAGCCCACACAACTGATGGGTATTTTCAGAAATATTTGTTTAAAAGACTAATTTCTGTATCAGAGGTTAGTGTGGGGTGATTTCACTGTAACAAGCCATCCTACTTCCAAGCAAAGGCGGTGTTCCAGCATCTTCTCCAGAGGAAGTTTCACATTTAGGGGTCTCTGAAGGGTCTTTGCAAGGTGTCTGGTACCTTGTATGCCTGGAGAAGCATGTAGATTACACCTGGTGCTCCATGGCACCAGTGGACGAGGAGGTCTCTGGTGTCACCGATGCAGGGAGGGTAATTCCCAGATGGGAACTTGAGCTGGCAGACATAGTCCACGCTGGGCTTGACTGCGTTGTGCAGCTTTACTTGGCTCACTCCAAAGCCAGGCTAAGAGAGAGAAAACATTTAAATCACGGAGAATTACCATTCTGTCTGTCCCTAAGAGATCCAAGGTCTACCCAAAAGGTGGAAACAAAGTCAACTATGGCTACATTCCCTCCTGCTCCTTGTAAATTAAGTAATTTCTTTGGTTTGGGCTTTCACACTTCACAAATACCCAATCAGTCCCTGGCTGCTGTGCCTTTTGGCAGGAACTTATTTCCAGTCCTACCCTTGCATCCCAGAAAAAAAGACTATTCCTAGCATGTCTCCTGGTCCTCTAAGCAAGAGAGCTTGTTGCTGCTTTTCCTAAAGACAAGCAGGAATAGCTTCAGGTACCCAGAGCTGAAGTAAAGCGATAACAGTCTAAAATTAGTATTAAGGATGATTCCTTGCACCTAGAGCATCTCAGCCCTCAGCTGCTGGGCCAGCCCAGCTGGCAGGCTGCAATTCTGAATCTTCACAGACATTGCTCGGTAATTTCAAGAGGCTGACTTCACTGCTGACCTCAGATGAAGGCAAGGGAATGGCTTCAGTGTCCCGAAGACACTGCCCCACAGGAAATCTGTGCAGTTCTAATTTCCCATGGCAGACTGAACACTCTCATCTAAGGATCACGCTGTTCTCAGGCTGGTAACAGGAAAATTAAAAATCAATACTTGTGCTGTAAAACCATTAGAGATAAAAGATGTTTTCCTCTCCATATTTCACACGCTTGCTTCTCCCAAGGCTTTTTGTGCATCATGCTTGGCTGATCCAGGCTCCTTTTACTTCATATAGCAGAGAAGCACAAAGCCCATGCAGTATTTTATGGGAGACTTAGTATGATTTAAAACAGCCACTTGGGAACAAGCTCAGGTACTTGGTACAAATTTAGGCTCACAGCACATCGCTGTCTCCCCTGCTCTTAGCTTGCTATTCTGTGCTTCTGGGTAATAACCACCCTGCATCCCCCTCTTGCCAAATCTTCTATTTAAAAACCACCAACCACCTCTTCCTCTCTGAGCAACAGAAAAGTTATATTCACAGGACTTCTACTGATCCTGTATATGGAATTTAACTTTGACAGTCCTGAAGGAAAGCTCAAATGCTTGAAACCTGGTGGCTTCCTTTTCCACCTGCTCTCAGAGTTATGTCTAATAAAAGATTATAGACTATTTCTAGACCAAAATAATTTGTGTTGCTCGTGGGTGCTTTTAACACTTTAAAAATTCAATGTTATTTTTTGCTGTTATTTTTCTAAGTGCTTAAGCACTGTAAATATATGCACAAAGGGAGCCACATAGGGGAATTATCACCCTCATTTTTTCAGAGCCAGAACAGGGAATATTGACAGAGCTCCAGTGAGTTGTGCAGAATAGTGAGAAAGCATCAAAGCAAAGGGGTACTGCTTCTCCCAGCCTCTTGTCTTGCTCTGCCTGCTTCTGGCACTGCAGAACTCAGTTCCTTTATCAAAGTCCCACCTCTTCCACATTTAGAAGCAGGTTCTGCTTTGGATACAAAGGCATTTCCCACTTTTCTACTATGAGCACAATTTTTTTCACCATGTTTTTCTCTCAGACATTCTCACTCTGCTCCAAGTAAACATCTCAGAAGATGCAGGGAGCCAGCAGATACCAACAAATGTGAATAATTTAGAAGCAATTAACATGAGGGGGAAACTCAGACCCAGCTGAGCTACAGGCCTCCATTATGTGACACTGCTGGTTAATGCAGGTCACGTTTCTCCACAGATCTCCAAGGTCAGAGATTTTGAAGAAAACCTTTACAATTGGAAATGCGTGATAAACACATGGGTAGGCCCATCAGTATTTTTTCCAGTTTGACATTACCAAGAGCCAAGTGAAATGCTGTTCCTTGTTCAAAGAAATGTGAAACAACTGCTAAGGACCCCTCCCCTTGTGTCTCTTACCTGCATGAGATAGTAGTAGATGCCAGCCAAACCATGGGCTGCTCCTACGTAGTACTCCTGGTACCACTCAAACATCAGTGGGCTCTTTGCTGTGAAGTTCCTCTTTCTGGCTAAGCTCTCTCCTGAGGCTACAACTGCTTCACAGACCTGTGAAGGGATGGGAACAAATGTGGGTGAGGGAAATGTTGCTGCCCTGGACAAAGCACAGCGAGTATTCTGACACAGAACAAGATTTCTTTTTCTGCCCAAGCAGAGGGTGGAATGAAATGTATGCCAGTCTAGTACTGCCTATGGACTTACATGGACAGTGGTGCTTTGTCCCTTTGGAAGAAAAGCCATACTATGATGTGTTTTCTCCCTTATTGCCAGAGTTCTTTACATCTAGCATTGATTTTTACCTGCCCCAAGATGAGTTGCATGGGAAGAGACAGATAACAAATCAGCAAAAGGCCCAGTACCTGCTGAATGTGACTCTGAGGGATCTTTTCCTCTCCGAAGTGCTTATTCACAAATATCAGTGCAGAGAGATAGCCCATGCGCCCGTAGAGGAGCTCATCTGGCACTCGTGGGTCAGCCTTGTGTAGGTGCAGCAAACTGCAATGAAACATTCATTGGGGGAGATGAGAGGGAAATGCACTCAAACATTACACTCAAAGCCATGTAAATAAGCACTAAGGCTGGAGCTCAAAACCCTGGTTCACTCCTTCATGTGCCCTAGGAGCTGTCAGAACAGGCTCTGGCTCTCAGCCTTCCAGCTGCAGGAGGTGTGGAATCACCCCTTCTCTTCTGCCTTTTGTCTGGCTGATTGCTTCAGTCTGCTCTGCTCTTCACAATGCACTCATACTATGTGCTTTGGTTTTACAGCACCAGCTTGGAAAGCTACAGGAGGGAGAAACCTGGGCTAAAAGAAATGGTCAGCATAAAGCTGCTGACTGCTCAGGAAAGGCTGCCCACCATTATCTCCTTGTGATGTTATTGGCAAGGTGGATACTCCGTCAAAAATCAACACTTTCAAATTATAGGGCTATCCTTGTAATTTGGCTGCCTAAGGAATATTTGAAAGTCAAGCTAGTGCTAACGGTATGTGGAAAAATCTCACCCCCAATGCTCTAAAGTCCTGATAGAGAAGCCCCTTCCTCTCCATGCCTACAAACAGCCTGGGCTCTTCTGTCAGGTGAGACAGAGGTGTCTCCATGAGCTAAAAATCTAAGTAAGAGTGGAGCTACACAGTTGTTTAACATCAAGCTGCCAGTGGCACATGGAAGAAATATGCTCTAGGGAGAACTGAGCAGCAGTGAGGACAGCTTAGCAAAGTGGGAGTGCTGTGGCTGGCCGAGGACAGCTTGCCTGGCACCAGGCTTTAGCCCACAAGTGCAGACTGAGGTCTGCTGCAGTCAAGTATTTTCTTTTCTGTGTTTCTATTATGATATTGCAAAGCTGGTGATATTCCTGTAGTGCTAACAGAGACTGACAGCACTTCACACTTGTGCTTTGTAGCCCAATTCATTCCTGATGCAATTTTTCCTTTGTTTTACCTCTCATCACACTTCCAGAAAGACTGGATGTCCTTCCCTGTCAGGGCAGCAGTTAGCAATGTGATTGGATTTGACTTTATTTTTCTGTTCACCTGTAAGACAGCAATCTGAAAAGTGCCATCACTTTTAAAATACCAGCTTAAGTGGCTTTAAGGCTATTCCCTGACTGTTTCCATCTGTGAAACCAGCCAGGAAAAGCTTTGTGTGTGCTGATCACACAATGCCACAGCAGTGTGAAGAACAGAAAAGGTGCCTTGGCTCCCAGGGCTCCAGGGACTTTGCAAGACTGTGTTGCAAAATAAAGAAGGAACCAAATGCCTCAAGTACAGAGGATGCTGGGCTGTGACTCCTCATGTCAGGAAACTTCTCCCTTGGCACTGGACTCAAAGTGCACAGGGATTTTGAAGGAGAAAGGAGGGAGCAGTGTCCCAAGGTGGACTGGCTCTTGTACCACTTGACATGTGGACTGCTCCATGGGGGAGGTTTCTTTAAACCCAAGAGACAGACTTTACACCCAAGGCATAGGTTCTCCTCCCTGCTGGAGGAGCTGAAAGGAAAGGCCTCATGGTGCCTATCACAGAGTCCAAGGAAGGCAGATGAAGAGGGTTTCCAAGGAGCTGTTTGGACAGATAGACTCTGCCTGGCAGCAGGCTGGCCAGAAGAGAAGCTGGCTGGTGATGTTGTTCAGCTCTGAGATGTCAGGAAATGTCAGCTGACATAGAAGGAGTGGATGGATGTGTGAATTGTAATACCAGGATTAGGGATTTTCTCAGTTCTGGATGTGATATCTTCTTTTTATGGGGAAATCTGGAGCAACTGGACCATTTTCTGGTCTTTGTGCATTACTGCTTTACCTCTAACTGCTTTTCAAGCAGGATCATCAGGAGAGGAAGCCTGCCAGGAGTTTCTGCTTCATGCATTCACAAAGAGATGCCTGGGATGCTGCTGGACTGATTGCATGCAGAATGCATTTCTCAGGTGTGTGGGGTAAGTTGTGGTCTCTGAAGAAGAGCCACTCCTATTCACATTATCAGCCTATCACCTCAGCTGTCAACAATCAGCAGTTTCTGGACAGAGGGAAATCAAGGCAGCTGTAGAGCAAAATGGGATTTTTGTACACTATTGGCTTTGAAAGCAAAGCTTTGACCTTCTGAATTGGTGGGAGGTGACAGGAAAAAGACGGCTTCTAGAACATGGCTCAGATTTTCACAGGCTCTTGGAAAAGAGGCCGCCCTGAAACATCAGTCTCTCTAGAGCATAAAAGCACATTTTTTGGTCATGAACTCATTTAGGTAAAAGCAAGCTTCTGTCTGTTCCACTGCAGGTAAAACCTGGCTGATGGATTCTCTCCACTGGCTGTGTAAAGATGAGGTGCTTTAAAAGACAGAGGACAAAATGCAGAGAAGCCCTTCTTCTCCACAGCTCTGAAAAAAGTGCTCTTTCTATGTACTGGCACTGCAGAGCTTAGCAATTGTCCTGTAACTAAACAGCATACTCAAAAACCATTTAAGAGTTTTGATTTAGGAAGCTACTTCTCAAAGAAATACTCTATTTTAAAGGAGCACAGTCAGGCTAACTGCTCTGGGAATTGGTGGCAGAGTAGGGACAGTATAACTGTTCATTTGAGAAAGCCACATTTTTCTGTTTTCCTCTTGCAGACGTATGAAGAAACCAATTTCCAGTGTTCTGACTTTATTATACCATTAGATGGCAGTGCAAAATTAATCACAAGATTCCATTCTACCACCAAACCACAGGCAGAACAAGAGGGATATGGGGAGGGGAGACCTCAGCAAGAAAACATGAATTAGGGATTGTTTTTACAACCTGGAACTTATGCACTGACCACAACTGGCCAGTATTGTTTGATAGATTAATTCCCTTTTTGTTAACAAATATGTTAATCATAGTGAGATTTGCCACTCTATCAAAGCAAAATCTAACCCACAGATTATTACCAGAATAAAGAAAGAGTTCTGTCCTCAGTCTGACTGTATCTACATAAACCAGAAGTTAGTTAAGGGAGTGGAACTTGGTGTCCAAACCATAGACTCCTCTGATTCCCACCTGTGGCTTTCTTAAATTGCTATTATGCATCATTTGCTCATGGCTGTTTAAGGGCAGTCAGCATTCTGAATCGTCAGGGGTTTTGTCTTTCTTTTGCTGATCAGCTGTGAGTAGAAACTCTCTACAGGGCTGTTTCTCACCTTCTTAAAACCCATCTCCTTTAACTGAGAAATGCTTGCAACTACATCTCCTTAACTATTTTCCTTCCTCTGCCACATGCTGATCTATGCTTGCTTGTTTGTCCTTTTCTTGTCTTAAGTACCCAACAAAAATGCATGTGAAAACAGTCGAGGAAAGGCAGAAAATAGAAATAAATGAATCATAACCAGCTGCATTCTGCAGTTGAAAGGGATGTTGTCAATCTTAGGTTTAAGTCAAAGACAACTAATAAAAAGCAAGTGGAAGCAAGTACCAAAATACCAAAATTAAATCTAATAATCTTACCACATTTTTCCTTTTCATCAAAATGACTGTAAAGCTAAATTAAAACGTTCACAAAAAACACCAACCCCCACCTTCTGGCTTTTTTTGTTTTTAATTTGGGCACTTTTTTCTTCCTGTGTTTATCAGAATTATTTTTAAGATGGCAGTACCAGCTGAACAATATCCTTTCTCCCCAGCTTGCAGGCTGCCACACAAACGTGTTTATCCTTAAACCACCTCTTTTACCAGGGCAGGAAAAGTTTGTGCTGCCTTACTAAGTTACTAGACTATTTCTCACACAAGACTGCAACAAAATGTATTCACATTTGTCAGAGAGTGCCTCATACAAGCCCAGACCAGCTTTGTGAGCAAGAGGAAGGTCAGGTGAAAGACATAAGCAAGTCTTTTACCGGATGATGCAGTCTTCTGCCTGCTTCTGGTTCTGCAGCTTGTGGTAGACGACAGCAGCCACTGCCAGGGGCCCGGCATCACCACACAGGAAAGTGATGGATCGCCTGGTCAAGCACCTCAGGCTCTTCTTCACGTACTCATGGGCCACCTGAAGGTAGGCTGGGTCTCCATACACATCAAACAGGTGCAAATACAGCAAAGCAATGCCTGCAGAAGGAACAGAAAGGTTGCATGGACCAGAAATGCTTGCCTTGTTGCTTCAGTGAAGCTGAAAGTCTGACCTGGCCCTCATCTAGGGCACAAGCCTGACAGACAGGCTTCTCAGGGACATAACCCACAGCTTCCTTTCCTGCTTTGTCATCTCCTTGTAACTTGATGCTGCTTGTGAGTGGATGGCAGGTCAAGACAACAGCAGGGTCTGTCCCAGGAAGGCCTGGAGAACAGCATAGAATTGCATAAAATTTTATACACAATTACATACAATTTTAGTAGCAAGGAGCAAAAGATGAGACCTAGACAAACCCACCTAAATCCATACACTGTACCTGTGACTTTTGCTCAACAGTTAAGGGGGAAAAAAACCCCAACCTTTGGGCAGATGGTACTTGTGACAGCAGAACAGAGATGTCACCCTCTCTATCTTTCCCCATGGTTAGGGGGTAAGGGGTTAGGTCACTTAGCTTGGACTGGATTTTTTAAAAAAGTGACACACCATCAGCACTGAGAAACAGCATCCTTAGGAAATCCAGACATCATACTTGACTCTTTAAAAAAATTTCTTTCCATTATTCTTTTGTAATTCCTTTCCACTGGGAAGCACTGGCAAGGTTGCTGCAGTTACCTGGACATCATCTCCTGCTGTTGAGCAAGTCCTAGGCCCTAAAGCAAGGACTGGTGCATCCTAGAAAAAAGGGACTGCCTAATTCTCCTCTGCAGCAATCACTCATGAGATCAGCCCTTGTCTGAAACACAAACAGCTGCCTGGAATACTGGAAAAGGCTGGATGGTGCTCACCAGAGGTTTCCAATGGACTGGCCAGCTACCAAAACAGTTCTGCTACTGAGCAGTCACATCAATTGCTGTCCTTTGCCTCCATCTGCCTTGTCTTAACCCAGCTCTTGAAGCTTTCAGTAGGTGAATGAGGAGCTCTCAGTAAGTCTGTGCCTGACAGGTCAGTCACACTTGAACCATCCTTCTGATCTGAGAGCCATCCTCAAACCTGCACTGAAAAAAACTACTGGCCTACATCACTTTGAGAAGAGCTTATTTCTCCCCTTAACAATAACCACTTCTAAGAAGACTCAGGTCCTGCACTAAGCCTAAATTAATAGAGCCAATCTCTGCAGATTTTGATGTGTTAAGGTCAAGGGAGCAAGCATGCTGCAAAATTACAGTCCAAAGTACTGAGGACAATTTCAAACTTGGATAATTTTCTCATTTTGCATGGGTAATCTTCAAAGCTTCATGTTACAGACAATTCAATTCCACATGTACATTATGTATAAAATTTCCATTTCCTGCTGAAGCTAATAACCTTGTTCTCTCTCTAAGCAATTCAGTGCTAGCAATTCTAGAGAGAGCTCAGCTGCACAGTGCCATCACTCAGGTCTGTAAGGATGTGGATATGAAGCCCTTCTTTAAAGGGGAACCCTCCTTTTCCAGCTAGAAAATGTCAAGTGACTCTCCTTGATTTTTTTAGTACCTAGCACATCTTCTAGACTCTTATTAGCCTGATAGATGTCTGAGCACAACTTGACTTAGCTGCTTTAATATACAACTTTTAGCTTTGTAAGTAGTTTCTATTCCCACTGCCATCATACCACCCTAATCACGCACATAAATACCCTGCCAAGACCACTGCAAGGACTGAATTCTTAGAAAGTAAATCTCAGCATTGTTTTCCTCTGATTTCTTTGCCTCTCCTCTTTTAAAACATTTCTCACCCCATTCCTCTCAGGCCCAAGCATCTTTGGAAAGACTCCAAAAAACCACTGATCTGTACTAAAAGATGAAGCTGCTTCCCAAAACATTCACTTTTCCTTTTTATTTAAAACCGAAAGGTCTTATAAACTGCATCTAAAGCCAGTTTTCTCAGTTAATTCCTGTTGTCAATTGATACTGGCAATACTCCAGGTACCCATGAAAGCTGTTTGTTGTTAAACCTCTTCTGTTATAGCTGGGCAGAGGAGAGGGGAAAAAATTAACAAAGAGCTCATGTGTTGAGATAAGATTGGGAGAAAAAACACTCTAAGACCAAAACAGGTTCAAATTTAAAGGTATAAAGTAAATTTATTATTAACAGAGTTAGAGGAGGATAATGAGAAATAAAATAAGCCTCTAAAACACATTCCCCCCCTCCCTAGCCCCTCCCTCCTTTCAACTGACAGCAGAGGGAGACAGGGCATGAGGGTTTTGGTCAGTTTGTCACCTGAGATCTTCTGTTCACTCAAGGATAGGAGTCTTTTCTCAGCTATGCTGTGGGGTCCCTCCCATGGGCAAACAGTCATTCCAAAACTGTTGTGGCATGAGTCACTTGTCCAGGGGGTACAGTTTTTTAAGGACAGGCTGCTCTAGTCTTGAAGCAAGGGCCCTGTCTTTGTCTATCTCTGGAAGCAGGAGCCCTCTTGCTCTATTTGGGTCTCCCACTGGATCACAGCTTGCTCTGTCACCCACCCACTCTGGCATGAGCACTTCTCCCATGGGCTGCAAGTGGAACTCTGCATCCCCTGTGGACTTGATGCATTACAGGGGCACAGCTGCTTCACCATGGTCCTCACCAGAGCCTGCAGAGGAATCTCTGCTCTGGTGCTTGGAGCACCTCCTCCTTTCTTTCCGCCGTCCTTGGTGCCGCCATGTTTTCGCCCACATGTCTTCACTTCCTCCTCCTTTCTAACTAGAAGAAAAACTGCTGCTTGTAGGTACCACTGTCAACAAGTTCCACCAATTCAAAGATTCCTGCAGGATCCTATAGCACTGAGAAGCTGATCTCATCTAGGTTCCATGCCAGGGAATTAATTGCTCATCCTGTTTCCACTGCCAGCCAGGCAGCCCTGCCGCTGTCACATGGGCAGTGGCGGCTGTGGCGGCGCTGGGGCTGTTTAACGCCTTTCTTCATGTGGAGAGGTGTTAAAAAATAAAAGCAAGGTTTGCAGGTTCCACAGGTACATAAGGTGTGATCCATAGTCTCTCTGTTCAGCTCACATCTCCGTACACGTGGGGTGCAGGGAAGGAGAAGCCGGCACCCCAGCCCTGCCCTTTCAGCCACAGCGCTGTATTGCCACAGGCTGTGCCAGCATGGCAGCAGCCACGGTGCCTCCCCACCCCTGGGGAAAAACTGTGTGCACGGTTTTGATTTTCTTCTTAAGTGTGTCATCACAGAGGAGTTACCAGCCTCTGTAAGTGGGCCAGCAGTGTGTCCATCTTCAGAGCCATCAGGGGCTGGCTCTGCTGGACATGGTAGAAGCTTCCAGCAGCTCCTCACAGAAGGTACCCCTGTGGCCTCTCCCTGCTACCAAAAATCAGGCCATGCCAAATCAACACAATTCCTCAAGGAACTCCTTATTCCCAAACTGATCAGAAGGGTGCAAGCAGTGCTGCCTTCAGCTTGCTGGTCCCTCTGTTGCCATGTGTGGGCCTCTGTGGGGAGAAGGCAGCAGAGGAGAGCAGGCACAAGCATGAAGAGGCAATGTTGACAGGTGTATGCAGAGGAATACAAAATACAGTCACCTTGGTGGGGATAGATGGTATCAACCTGTGTGCCAAGGTGCAAGGAGAGTATTTCAGAGGCAGTGCAGGTCAGAGACAAGAGTATCCACATTGTGACCTTGGTTCAGTTAAGGCAGTGCTGCTCTGCAGAAGCTCTTCCACAGCTCTGCCTCACTCCCTCTCCAATATTCCTCACCCCAGCCGACTGGGTAGGTTTGTGACTGACTGGGTGTTTGGCATGCTTTAAGTGGTATACAAACATGGCATCACCAGACATATGGAGCTAGGTAGGCTGTGGATCAGCTCCATTTCTGTGTGCCCTGGAGGTCTGATGTTCAGTGTCCCAATTGGAAATGTGACCTAATTTTGTGACCTCTGACTGTTTCCAAGCAGAACTGCCATACAGTGGCCAGCTGTGGCCTGCTACTGCCAAAGATGTCTGGGCTTTTTCCTGTTGGTTGTTTATTACTGGACCTTTTTCTCTGTAGTTTCTCAGATGTCCAAGTTTTTTGCTTCTTGCCCCTGCTGCAGAGCTGAATGAGATGGGGAATACATCAGGGAGTCCTTGATGGTAGAGGGCTGCACTGAACACGTGCTGCTGACAGCCCAGCAGGGCTTTGCTGACTGAAACAGCCACCTCCAGCATGCAGAAAGCCAATACACAGGAGCTGAGTGTCAGTGCCCAAGATGCTTGCTCATTGCAGGGAATCGGGAGGCCAAAGTCAATCCTGTGTGCTTCACAAAGCCTGCTTAGTCAACACCTTCAGAAGGACAGTAAACAGCACCTCTCCTCCCACCTTCCTGCAGGGTAGGTGCAGAGGGCTACTTTGCATTAGAGATTTCTTTAGAGTGGGGCAGTGGAGTTACAGACAATTGTGACAGAGCTACAGCCAGCTTGTGCTGATGCCCTGACTTCAGCAACCATTGCTTTCAACAGAGCAGGCACTGCTGGAAATACCAGGTAAGGTCTTGCTTGTGAGCTGAAGCTCTGCAGTAGGCAGAAATGTGAGCTAAAGCTCTGCAGTAGGCAGAAAGAGTATCTCATCCACATGACCATTCTGTTGATCCAAGAGAAGCTGTGCCTCAACTTCTCTGCAAGTTTAGACTTGCTCTTTTGTTGGCCTGCAAGCAGTTTGCTTTGCAAGCAAGTTATGCCCTTAGACTGTTCTGAACATGCCTCCTTGCCCAGCAGGAGCTGAGCTGTGCTTCTTTTACCAAGGAAAGGAGGTTGCCACAAGAGGATATTTTGTTCCAAACCAACCACCTAGAGTTATAAAGATCTCAGAGATCTTGCATTGACCCAGGGCAGTAAATCAGCCAGCAGCCTCAAAGCAGGATGTCTAACACAGAGGGAAGAAACAGAAACCTATCTCTGCACAGTGATGAAGCCTGATGTTTCTAATGAGACAGCTGATGCCATTTTATTAAGTTAGGCATGGGGTAAAAGAGCATGGATGGCCCAGCTTTATTGCCCAGCTCAAAGGAAAATTAGCATCTCTCCTGGTGCAGACACATGGGATGCTACCTTGCACTCCTAAATGCATGCCAAAGCCACATTGCATGCAACAGTGAGACATCTCTGGAAGTCCATGTTCAGAACTGGCTGGGGAGCCAGTTTGAGGTTCTGTTCCGACTGCATGATTGATTATCCAGGATGCCTAAGCATTTATCCTGCCTTGAAACCTGGGTAACAGAGCTTCTTCTGTTAACCTTTTTACCCCATCACAAAATCCTACAACAGGTTAGGTTAGCAGGGATCAATGGTGATGTGCTCCAACCCTCTGAAAGGAAGATCAACCTCAAATTTGCATGCCATTGCTCTGGGCCTTGTCCAGTCAAACACTGACTATTTCCAAGAACAGAAAATTCACAAAAACTACCTGCCGAGCATTTGGCAGGAATGTGGTTTATGTGAAGTGACCCAAGGCACTGTATTATCTCTCAGCAAATGCAGCCTCACTTTCTCCTGTTCTGTAGGGATTATCTGAGGATTTCCATTATTCTGAACAGGACTAAAAGGGACGTAAGGTCTCTGGATTCTGCGGTTAAAATGCAACGTATTGCACTAAAGTGAATGAAAAGTGTTTTTCCAGAAGTTTTCCTGAACTGGTTCAGTTGTAATTTCACTCTTACATGGCTTTCCTTTCAAAAGACAACTGAGCCCTGCTCCTCATCCCTACATCACAATGGGCCAGCCAAAACATGTGGATGGGGCCAGCTAAACTTACTCTGCAGTTTTGGAGGCTCTCCATGACTAAGACATTGCCAGAGAAGAGGAAGCTTGCATGGGAAAGAAATTCAGTGAACTACCACACTGTGGAGGAAGGTGAATCTCTCCCTTATATACCTCATCACCTTGGAAGGATGCAACAGTCCAGTAGGCCCTGGACTCAGGAGCATCCTGGCTTCTGCAGTCACCTGGTGACAGGTGTGAATTCCTTCTGTTCCTTTTCCATCAGCTATGCTCCCAGTCAAGACAGTCTTCAGAGCAAGGCCTTTTGCATGATCACAAACACCAACAGGCATACAGGTATCCCTCAGTATCCTCAGGCCAATCTGTCTGGAAATGGATGAGGCTGCTGTGCTTCTACCAGGATCTGAACTGCTTCTGACTCAGAATTAGCTGAGAGCAGTTCAGCTTCCCTCAGTCAACACTGTGATACCACTGAAACAGATTAGGGAAAAAACTCTTCCAGCAGTCTCCCTAAACTGATGAAAAGCCAAAGCAGAACACAACAGCTGAGGCTGGTCTGTACCCAGGCACATACCAGGTGCTGCCTATGGGGCCCTGATCTCTATGGGGAACTGAATGAGAACATAACAAGCTGATTCAAATATGTTTTGAGGGCATTCAGCCATACATTGGATAATCTTGATCCAAAGTGTGTTTCACTGCCTCTGAGCTGAAAATCTGAGTCCTTCCCTCTCTCTGCTCCAACTTCACGTGCCAAGAAGCCGTGGCTTCCCTGGCACGAGTGCACGCTAGGGGAACAGGGCTCTGTCAAGTGCGTTGGGAAAGAAAGGAGCCCCAGAGTAAAATGCCAGCATATGCTGTGTATTACTGAGTGTAATACAGTACACTCAAGTACGTTACATTTCACAGAGTTTGTGCCAAGAGAGCCACATTTCAAATCTCCCTTATTAGCGGCCACGAGAGTGAGGGCTGATTTCAGACTGCTGGGCAATGATTCACATGAGGAGATACTCAACAAGCCTTTCCTACACAAGCAATTACAGGAAAAAGCTGCTGTCTTGGCCCAATTAATTTTGTCTCTGGAAACCAGCTCTGAATAAATTAATATAGCTAGAATTGGAAAAGAAGGTAGGGTGACAAAGCTATAGTATAACATCTGCAAACTTCACCATGCTGGCTGTGACTTCCAGGAAATCTGTCCATGGATTTTTTCCTATTAGCCAAGGAAAGAAGGCTGTGTGCCCATTGAGGAATGATCTCTAGGAAGAAAAGAGAAGAATCCCTCTTGAGAAACTCCCTTCCAAATGAAAAGATGAAATCCTGAACCAGAGTTCACAACTACTTTTTCATAACTGCAGTCACTTTCCAACAAGAAGTACCTTAGGACCACCTTCAGAAAAGAAACACAGCCTCTGGGGAAAAGTGTTTTCCTTCTCCCCAAGAGTACTCCTAACATCAACTATCCTCCTGCTTTGTCTCCTGAATTTTCTGGCCAGAGGCAGACTCTGCAATCATGACTGAAGAGCACCCTTACCACAGCAGATCTCATCAGAGGGGACCCCAGCACAGGGTCACACAAACTGGAAAACTGAACATGTCTGCCAAGGTGAAATCAGCCAGCACTCAGCAGAAATGTATAAATTCACTGGCAGCAGAAGCAGAGTGCTGCCAAGATAGCAGCTGATGAAATCAATGTTCTCCCACGCTGGAATTTAATACTGGCATCCTAGCATTTCTTATGAACTGCTCTTCAGTGCTCTCAGTGTCTGTCTGCCTTACTAAAATTTTGAAGCAGGCATTTCTAGCACTGCTGTCATCAAGCCGCAACGTTAGTTTAGCACCAACACCACTCTCATAAGCAAACTGTTGGCATTAAGTTCCACAGCACCCACACACAAGCAGCCACACCCAGATTGTACTGTAGAAAGTTGCCATTTAAGATTGCAGCATACTGCAAAAAGAAAAGAAGCAGCACCAAAAAAAAATCTTGCAGCAAGCATGAGATTGATTTCAACTACCCTACAGTCCCTGAATAGGGCCTGGCACAGCGCAGAAGGCAGGAGAGATGTCAAACCACACAGCAGCAGCTGAAGTTGGGGCACAGAGAAAGGTGTGTCCACCCTGGCACCAGTGGGTAGAAACAGGGAGGCAAAGGCAGGGCACACTTCCAAGGAAGGAAAACGAGGCTGAAAATGCAAAATTGGAGAAAGACAAGCTTCTGGAAGCTTTGCACACAAGTTAGTATGAGGAAGGCTTCCACACTTTGTTATACTCACATTAGTATTTCTGCTCCTTCTGGCAGGCACTGGAGCAAAACTAGTGCTCACTAAATGGAGTGGCACTACCTGGGGAACAGGAATGGAGCAATCTTCCAATCAGACAAGGTCATCAGATAAATTACAGCCCAAACAGAGAAGATAGACATTATTTCAGGCTGTTAAGCTCACTGCTGCCAGATGCAAGGGCTCCTTGCAGGTAAATGACTTACCACGTACACCTGCCTACTTCATGGAGCAGCGGATGGAGCACTGGTTTTGTTTTCACCATCCCCACCATGGCTAGATTTGGAGCCTGTCCCTTTGAAGGCTCCCATGCCTACTCTCAAACGAGTGCTGGCTTTCTCCGTTGTGTAAGTTCAGCGCTATTAACCAAGACTAGACCCAATCCTGCCCTACGACACTGCGGTCTTTGCTCTGCAGCACGAAACCTGCCTCAAAAACGGGGAGTCCAGAGAAAGACATCCCCTTGTTCTAACGGACTAAAACATGCAGAAGAAGTGCCACTCTTGACATGGACCTACCATGACCATTCCAATGGCCAAAGCCCCACGGTTTGCCAGGACCTGATCTAGAGGTCTGCTCCAGGGAGCTGCTGCTCCATGGGATCCAACCCTACCTGTCCAGCCAGTGTACGCGGTGCAGTCATGCGGGTCGGCGGACTTGAGGCCCTTCTCCATCTGCTGTAGCAGCTCCCTGATTTTGTTATTCAGCCGCTGCGTGAATTCCGGTGTCAGCTGTGGAGAGAAAACCCACCAAACGTGAATGCAACGCGGGTGGCCATCGCTACACCGGGCAGCCCCAGGGAACCGCGTTTGTAACCTGACAGGTCTCTGCTCTACCCGGCCGGGGCAGATCCCCAGAGCCGCCTCGCCCCAGCCCCGCTCACCCGCCCGGCCGCGTCGAAGTAGCCGGTGGCCAAGGACTTGTCATAGTCCGCGTAGGGGTTCGGGAGCGCCCGCTGCGCCATCATAGTGCCGCTCGGCTCGGCCCTGATCGGCACGGCACGGCACAGCACGGCTCGGCCCTGATCGGCACGGCACGGCACAGCACGGCTCGGCCCTGCCCGCCCCGGCTCCGCCCCGGAAGGCGCCGCTGCCGCCGCTCGCTCCTTCCCGCGCCAGGGGCGGGCTCGGGGCCTGCGGCTGCTGCCGCCGGCGCTGAGGGGGCCGGGGGTGCTGTCCGGCCAATGCTGTGGGGGGCACGGCCTGTTGTAGCGCGTTGTGTCTGCTTTAGAGAACCCTGTGGAGCTGAGGTCCCTTGCAGCTGATCGTGCAGGGTTTCTTGCAGCTGATCGTGCAGGGTTTCTTGCAGCTGATCGTCAAGGGGGCCGGTTGCAGCTGGCCCTGTGGGTTTAGGGGCCCGTTGGCAGCTCGGTCTGTGTGCTTCAGGGAGCCCTTCGGAATATAAAGGTCGTTTGCAGCTGGTCTTGTGGGGCTTAGGGACACTGTAGGGCTGAGGGTAACTGTCTCTGTCTGGTTTAGAGAGCCCTGTGAGATTTTGGGCCCCTTACAGGTGGCCCTGTGGTGTTTAAGTCCCTTGTGGGGGTCCCTGTGGGCTTTGGTTCAGTGGGCTGCATGGATCTTGGAGGCCCTGTGGGATTAGGGGCCCCTCACAGCAGCCTGGAGTGGATGGGCTCCACACGGATTTGGCGATAAGCTGGTGCTGACAGGGGCAGCCCAAGGATAATGTGCTGAGTCCTGCACCCCCAGAAGGATTTCCTCACTTGGGGTGGGACCCAGCCTGGATGGGGGACAGGGGCTCTTCTTGGCTGTACCGTGCTGAGCTGCTGCATGTCACCTGTGCTGGCTGAGCTACATCTTCCTCAGGAAGAGGTTAGGTCCCCATGAGTCATAGACCTGAGCAGTGCTTTTCCTCCCAAGTACAACATAACTGTGCTGCCGTGCTGCTGGGGATCTCCTTGGTGTGGTCGTGGGGCAGTGTGCAGCCACCCAGGTACAGTGTACTTTGTGCTGCCAGGTAGCATTCATTGGGCTCACATGTCCTTGTGTGCTGTATTCCTCAATCCAGACCTTGCTGCTTGGTGTAACACTGCTCAGCTCCCTTTCTTCTGACCCCATGGACCTGAGACGAGTTGTGATGTCCCTGCTTGAGGTGTGGCTTGCTGAAGTGTATGACAGGTGCAGCTTTGGGGCTCCCCAGCACTTGTGTCACTGCAGGCTTGCTTGTGTGTCTGTTGGGGAAGCACAAAGGGATGTGGCTGAGCTTGAAGCTCTTGGTGACTTGTCAAGGTCTAAGTGCAGTGACACTTCCCCTTGTAGGAGCTGAATCCATGTGGGTGGGTTTAGGGGAAACTGCTGCTCTAAGAATTTACACATTGGTGACTATAAGCACCCTGAGAATCCTTTAGGCTGCTGCACTCATGTCTGAAACAGTTGTATTATTTAAGGGATTCTGGTTTTCTGTCCATATGTCCATTCTTTATTACAATCAATAAAATTAGACCTTAAAGAAAAAAAGTAAATTATTTTACGATATGGTGAGAAACAAGCAGAAAAGAGGGAATTGCAATTATGTTTGCTTTCAGTTCTTTTTTCACTCAGCTGTTGCTTTTTTAGTGAATTTCAATCACGTAAACATTGCCTTGCATTCAAGGCAGGGAGATGGACTGCAGTTTTAGTATTCAGGGAGGTGCCTCTAGCATCAGCAAAAAATAATGTGGAGTCTTCTGCTTAAGGCCAGATTCACAGCCTTATATTATGGTCTTCCATCTGCAGGTCAAAGCAGTATTCACTGCCCTCCTTCCCTCTGGCACAGTTCAGTATTAACTTCCAGCATAAAGCACAGCATTTCAGCTTCAGAATCTTTCTTTGATTCCTCACATTAGTTTTTTCTCCTGATCACTTAAAGACAAAGATGGTTCTCCCAAATTATCCTGCCAAGGAGTTATGTTTCAGTATATTATTTTCTAATTGATCACGGTCACTTTGGCTTTGGTGCACCTCTTGCTGCCCAGGATGAACCCAGAAATCCAGACTGCAGCTGTTCACTCAGAGCCCAAGTAAGAGATTAATGATTCATCCTTAGTAACCTGCCCATGTAGAATGGGGAATGAAAGAAGGAAGGGATCTTGAGAGGAAAGCTGCTCCTGTGTTCTTGCAATCCCAGTCACTTTGGGCTGTTTGGTGGGCCTGTTTGTTTGCTTTGTCTGAAAAGGGTCATGCTGCATTCTTTGAAAAAAAGAAAAAAAAAAGCTATTAAAGCAGATCTGTTCAGAACACATCTAGAGAGGAACTGTGTGTGGATGCAGCTATGAGAGCACAGGGAAAATGGTGAGAAAGCAATCTCTAGTAGCTTTCCTGGCTGTCCTGTCACAGTTAGCCCCATAAAATCTCTCTCTGAAATGACTTGCAATCAGTGGTTGAATAGATGTCCCCAAATCTTTCTACCTGTGACAAAACTAAAGGATGTAATACTTTCTGCTCCACAACATTGTCTAAAGGACAAATCCTTACTAAATTTTAGCAACACAAGAATCCTGGCTGTTGGTGGTCCCAACTGTGGCATATCTGTGGATTACATGAATGAAATGGATATTTCACAGTCCTCCTTGAAGAAAACCTCAGCATGCTGAGGTTGAGCATGTGTCTGCTCCCTACTCATTCCAGGACATGAAACCAAAATCTCTGACAGATGTTACAGCTGCTTGCATACTACATGGCATCCTGCCTGAGGGCATACTGAAACATCTTCCTGAGAGGAGCTGTCTCCTGCTGGAGACTGTCCTTCACTGCCTGCAGGCATCCATCAGTTGTGTAAACTCACCTGCAGGGAATCTCCACGCAGCAGGTGCCCAGCGTGGGCAGTGTGGATGCCGACTTGCAAGTGGCCTTTCCAAAATGTTGGTTTGCCATCTGCCCCGCCTCCACAGCCTCCTCTCAGGGTCAGAGCGACCTCACACAGCAGGCTCCACGCTGTGAACCAGATGGGCTTGGCATGGTAACCCCACAATAGTAAATGTGAGGGTTGCTTGCTCTGCTTTGCAGTTGCATGTTATATGTGAGGGAGTGCAGTGAGCAAGGGTAGAGTGTCCTTTGTAGCCTTGTCAGCTAGAAAAAGGAATTTGAGAGGCTGTGTGGAAGTGCTCCACAGAGCATGGTCATCCTCAAGGAGTGTGAGAGTGTCCTGGAAAAATGTAGTGGCAAAGTACTTGGGCGGTGGGAGGGGTTTCATCTGCTGAAAAATTGCCCAAGGGATGTCTCAGCAGAATGCTTCATCACAGAACTACTGCAAGACAAGATTTTTGTGGACATTTAAGAGATGTAATCCAAGTTGCAGCATTTATCTCCCCATCTCTGCTTTGGTTTGTTTCTTTTTTGGTGTTGGCTTCTTTGTGTTTCTGTTTTAGACACAGCACAAAGTGAGAAGCTTCCCAGTTGTATTCATTAGCTTCTCTTACATGTTATTTATTCAGCAGCAGCATAGCTGAAGATACTATATGCCTAAGATTGATGTCCAAAGTGTCCTAGGACATATAACAGATCAAAATCAAAGATGCCCTTTTCTTCATTTTAAATAACAATTTTGAATATCAGATTTTGTTTCTGCCATGGTGCTATGTATAAACTAGAGATAACTCTAGAAACTTTGCTGTTCTTTAATATTAGAGCCACAGGCCCCCATATTTGATGTCAGTAAAAATGCAAACTTACCCCAAGAAATTGAAGATCTTAATGCCATTCTGAAGCTAAGTAGCTTTGATATAGAAGGTGAGGCAAGTTGTTACATCTTAGCATTATAAGTGGATTTTTTTTCCTTTTCGAGGGATATCCAGGAGAAGGGAAAAACATTTTATTTTACTGTATTTTTTTTCCATTTTATGGATGGCATTGATTGTTTATCTTTTAGCAGCTTGTATGAAGAGATCAAAGGCTAAGTATTGGTCACAGAGTTTGAGCTGTTCTAGTTGATTCATTGATAGTATTTCTGGTGAGCAGAGCTTACCTGTATCGTGCCTGCACTTATTGTGGCCAGGTTATTAAGCCAGGCATTTGGTACAGAGAATTCTGATTCCATGCACAAACAGTGGGGGGCTTTGAGTTAGTGGTTACCACTCAGATCTCAGAGCTGTAGTAGGTACTTCTGTGAAAACACTGCTCACAAGGCAAAAGAAAAACAAATAAAAGTAGGAAGGGAAAAGAGCACAAAACTAGGAATGCTGTTAGATGTGTCTGTGGCTCACCTGCATCTCACATACTGTCTTATGTCCTGATCTCATCTCAAACAAGACAGCAAAACTAGAAGCTGGATGTAGAAGTCATAGGACTAATAAGGCCAAAAAGGAGATCATCAGCTGTGTGGAATGACTTAGGTGCAAGGACTAAGCAGCTAGGCCAGGACTATTCAAGCTGCAACAGAGGTATCTGAAAAGGGCTGCAGTGGGTGTCTGTAAACCTTGAACAGTGTCACGAGCATGAGCAGGGGAGGGTGACCCACTGGCTCTCAAAGCTAGCAGACATGAACTGCAGCAGCTCTCAGAGGTGAAGGTTATCCATGGAGCTATGCTGTTGCAGGTTGGCAAGTACAAAGACACAGCTGGGCTTGTGCACGGGAGGGGCTGAGCCTCAATCCCATTCCTGGAGAGTTTGGTGGCCGTGCTTCTGTTCCCTAGCACGCTGCCCGAGCATCCGACGCAGCCTGGTCTCTGGGAGGGCTTGCTCTGGGCTGCTGGGCCTGGTGCCATGTGTTTCTATTTTGCTTTATGGCATGTGAACCTGGGCAGAGCAGCCGAACAGCTTTGTAGCAACCTGTCTGCGTGTCGGCAGCAGCAGCAGCATGCCGCTTAAACTACAAACACATCCTTGATCGGAGTGTGGTGGCTCTACCCGATCTTTCAGCGCTCTGCCGCTAGATGCCTCTGTCCCACAAGGAAGGAGCAGGAGCAGCTCTGTGCCTGTGCCCTCAGCTGGCACACCGGGAAGGCATCCATCCATGCCCTGCTCAGTGTGGGACGGGAGGGCGTTAATTGCTGTGTAAGGAGTAGAGAGCAGTGGTTCTGCACGTAGCAATCCTCTGTGACATTTTATCATTTTCTCCTCCTTGTGCACCACAAGATATGGATACCCCCCAAAGCAGTGGGAATCCATCCTATTTTAGCAAATGAGAGAAGTTGAGAGCAGACCTGAGAAGAGGCGATCAGTAAGGGCTGTGTATGGTCAGGAGCAAAAAAAAAACCGAGTCAGGAAACTGCTAAAAACTGGACAAAGAACTTTGTTTTGGAGATGAGGTAATTTGGAAGACAGTAGGGATTGTTGAGACTTTGATAGAATTTGATCCCTGGATAGGACTGAAATCAAGTCAGATTTCTTTTGATTTGCTATAATGACTAAAGCAGTTCTGTGTAGGGCACTTTCATACTGAAACCTCTCTTTAAAGTTCAGCAAGAGGGTTGGATGTGATTGCCAGTGAGTGGATATGACTGATTGCTCAGCCTGACTGTGTTTGACATCTGTCTGAACCTCCATTCACCTTTGCATATGTACAGGATGAGCTGTGCTAAACGTGACTGCTGACTTGTTTGCTTAGCTGTGTGAACAGTTTGGGATGGCAGTGACCAGGGTCTCTGCAAAACTGAGCAATGCAGTTAGGCTTTACAGGTGCTCTAAGGACTCTGAGGGGCACTGAGAGGACCCTGTTTTTCATTTAGTACCTTTTACCCCTTCTTTAACATGGAACCTGCTGTTGCTCAGAGTGTACAATTCTTTTTTGTGGAAAACTATTGAGTGTCATGTTTTTAAAGGACACTTCAATCCCAAGTGTCTATACTATCAACAATGAGACACCCAGGCAGCATTGCAAAGTCTGTCCTGATCCAGCAATGACTTAGCACCTGTGCCAGTATCTTGATATTTATTATCCACATTTACCTTTAAATGGTTTTATCTAGATTTGTCTTGTACCATTAGGTCCTAGGTTTGAGGTGTCTGCTATTTCTC